CCCCTCCCCCCTCTGCCCAGTGCAAGCACAAGGCTTTGCACTGGGAAGAGGGAGTGAAGTGGGAAAAAAGTGCGAGAGAGAGGGTGAGAGAAAGAAAAAAATCCCCACGGCTCGCCATAAGGAGCCGGCTCGCGTCGTTCTCGTCAAAGATCCGTCTCTAAGAGCAGTTTTGTTCGTGACCGACACATCACTAGTGCTTTCAAGAAAACAGTCATACAACTGACTGTTCTGTAGGTTTTTCTACTTTCGACAGAAAGTGTATTTGCAGCGTTAAGTGGTTTCTGCGTCACTAAAACAATACTCCCACTCAGCACAGGCAGAAGCCGAAGGAGTGTTCATGCTGTTAAAATGTGCGAAAGTCTAAACAAAAATACAAGAAATTAATTAAAGTTTTTGTTTGTTTCGCACAACATATTGCATTTTTTTCTGTCATACTTTCGGACTCAAGATATGTCATCCACAGCAGAATGCAAATAACTTTAAGGAAGGTTTCTTCATCCTCAGCTCAGCAACCTCTGGACCATGACATGTTTGCGCAGAATTAACTGGTAGTGGTCAGTGTGAAACGGACTGTAGTATAATTTACCTATGGCAAAATAAATAATGCTGTCATTCCTACTTTTTAGAAAACATCTTTAGTCTTTGGTTTATGTAAATAGTTACAGCTCACCCAGCCTTTCATTGGCTCTTTTACAAGTTGTTTTTGCAAACTCCTGTCCAAAGTTGTCTGTCTATGATGTCTTTGATGTATTTAAAAAAATCTGGTAATTGTGAAACATTTCATGCAGTGCTTTAATTGAATCCCTCGAATTAAAGCTGAAAGACTGGCTTCAATCACAACTTAATTGTGTGGTTTAAAATCCTGTGGTACGACGACAACTTTAAAAAGCGTCTTTGTTCAAATACTTTTAGATCCAAGTTTAGTTTCTGTGTTTCCTCATAATAGTGCAGTAATTTTAAATGCATCCCTTTCTTCTTCTGTTAAAGGATCAGCATGGACGATCTATCTAATCCACATCCAGAAGAAATTGCTCGAGTTAAAGAAGCGCTGAATGACAACGACACTGCTGCAGCAATTGCAAAGATTAAACAGTGTTTTATTAAGCAAGATAATATTCCACTAAAAATTGCCATTACAGGAGAATCTGGTGCAGGTAAATCCACCTTTGTTAATGCTTTCAGAGATATGGGTGATGAAGAAGAGGGAGCTGCTTCAACTGGTGTTACACAAACCACCTCAGAGGTTACAGCACATCCCCATCCAAACTATCCCAATGTTACTCTTTGGGATGTTCCTAGAGTTCGAACCCCACATTTTGATGAGTACCTGAAACCTGTTGGATTTGAGAAGTTTGACTTCTTCATCATCATCTCAGACACTCGCTTCAGAGATAATGATGTGAAACTCGCTCAGGAGATTCAGAAGATGAAGAAAAAGTTCTACTTTGTTCGCTCAAAGATCGAAAACGATATACACGCTGCAGAGAGAAGTCAGAGAGAGTTCAGTGAAGAGAAGATACTGGAACATATCAGGACAAACTCCATTCAAAGTGAATTTATTTTTATTTCTACAATATCAAAATTTGTTGAATTCATCCTGATTTTGTTTATAACACATCATCCTTGTGACTGACATGAGGTTTTATTGAGCCACAGTGAGAAATTGAGGCTCATTTGTAGGATTCTATCAGAAACAAGTGTGAAAGTGAGTTTCATGATCAAAATCATAAACTTTGAAATGCATTTCTGTCTTTTTCACACCACAGGTCTCCAGAAACAAGGGTTTCGGTCTCCACAGGTCTTCTTGGTTTCCAGCTTTGATCCCCGTCTCTACAACTTCCCTCTCCTACACGAGACCATCAGGAAAGAACTTCCTGAACTCAAGAGAGATGCACTGCTGTTTGCCACATCCAACATGAACCTGGAGATCATTAAAAAGAAGAAAAAAGCTTTTCAGTCCAACATGAAATACATCACTCTGCTGTCTGCAGCTCTAGCAGCTGTTCCAGTTCCTGGATTTTCTGTTGCTGTTGATCTGATCTTGATGTTCACATCATTCCTGAAATATGTTGCTGGGTTTGGGCTTGATGAGCCATCGCTGAAGAGAATTGCTGCCAGCTCTGATGTTCCATACACTGTTCTGAGCAATGCTGTCAGGTCACCCCTGGCTGCAGAAAAAATAGACAAATATTTTATCATGAAGGTGTTGATAACAGCTGCAGCAAAGGGAGCATCCAGATTCATCCCAAAATGTGGAATCCTAGCAGCAGTGAGCCTGTCTTTCATCATTCCCTACAGTTTTCTGAAGATGTTTCTTAATGTCTGTGCTGACGATGCTCAGAGGGTATTTGAAAGGGCTCTGGGTTGGAGCACCTCAGAGTGATTTTCCAAAGTAAAAGTTAGTGTCGTTAAGAGACACATTTAAAACAGAATCATATTAAAAAGCTTTGAATATTTTTTTTTTCTGAAGTAAAAACTGAAGTCATAATCGAGCTGCACATTTCAGCCAGTGTGCTGCTGATCAGTGTATCGGCCTTAGCAGGTCTCATGTATTTTCATTAATACACAAACAAAAATTTCGGGAAAAAAATGCAGTTGTGGATATTAAAAAAAAAGCTTTCAATTTTTACAAATACTACATAAATACTATGATTTTGTCACAAAATATGCAGCCTCACTCTCACTGTAACCACAAAAACGGGTTACTATGGGATTCATGAGGAGTGGGAGTGGGAGTACTTGTCCTCTGAGACTGAGGAAATATTTCTAAAAAGAAAAAAGAGTTTTCTCTGTGTCAGAATAATAAAGACAAAGTTTCTGAAAAAGCAATGCAAATGTCATGGTATGGTAATCTGAGGATTCTTTCCCTTCTGTCTTTTCTCCCTCGAATATTCAGCTGCCTGCCCCCTCTTCTTCACTTTCATCCTCCCCTTGACTCCTGTGGACCACCAGTAACCTCTCCACTCAGAAATATCCACAAGTCTTTCCTCAGTTAACAGTCAGCCTTTGCTGTTCTTGCCTCTGGCTCTAAATAAATCCTGTCTCCCTTCCACCTCTTTCCCTTTGTTTTTGGTAAAACATGAGAGCAACAACAACAAAGTAAAAACATAAGTTTGTAAAGAGGTTCTAAACATTCCTGAATTCTCTCCTTTGTGTGCAGCAGGGTCACATAATGTTCTGATTTTTCAGACGTGATGGGACTTAGTGCTCAGTTCAGAAAAAACAATCATTTTAATGTCCTCCACCCTCAATATAGTCCTCCACCCCTTGTCCTCTCTGTTGTTGTCAGGGTGGAGGACCGGTTCTACCTGAAATACATGACTGGGAGGAGGAGCTGCTGTTTCTGTCTGCTTAACTTTCGATCTTACATTCACAGGCTTTTAAATCATACACGTAGCTTTAACTAACTCTTTTTGGACAAATGTTAGATAAACTCTGAGGTGTGCTTAGGTTTCTTTCCTTTGAAGAGAACATG